TTACGATTAATTATGTAGAGGTTAACTGATAACATTGACGCAATGAAAAAGGAGGAACGCGAAAGTGCAGCTCCGGACCGTTTGTGCGGATGCACATAACAGACGTGTGGTTCTCCCAGACAGCTGAACTTGAGTGACTGCCAAAACTAAACTTTACACATGATCAATAAAATCAATGCGCAACTAGCATTAATGATTTTAACCAGCACACTGTGCAGCCAATAGCGCTTAGCTAGCGTCCTCTGCTCACAAGGACAGCTAAATGACAGGTGGCAGCGGAAAAGATGAGCGCTACGCCTCAGTCTGGCAGTAAATGTACAGTGTAGGTCACAGCGTCTGTTTATTGGATGCCCTGAAATGAGAACGGGCTCACTGAAACACGCCCTGAAATTTTAATTTAAATCAGACACTAGGGGGCGCTATAAATGCAAGACAACTGCAAGTCATTAGGTGCGTTTGAGATGACCACGGTTGACTTTCGCAGACTCGATAGTCAAACGTGAGCTGCAGGGAATAAAAACAGCTTTGTCAAGTCTGACATATTCTACCTGCGTGAGCTTACTGTGAGCTGAGATCAATATGGCATTTCCTAAAATTCCGCAAGATCAGGCAAAAGGTGGTTCCAACTGTGTGCAGCCAGAGAAACGCAACTGTGGTCGCTGGACTCAACTGCAGCCGCAAGGTTTTAATGTCATGTGACATGGTTAGGTTTTGCAGCGCCAGAGAAAGTCGGACACAGTTTCTAACAAGTATGCCTGATAAATCGAGCATGCATCGTGTTAAGTCAGCGCTGTGCAATGCCACATGAAGTCAAACGCACCTATTTCAAGCAACTCAGGCTACAAATCAGAAAATGTTTGTCCAATCAACACAAATCTTCCAGGATATGTCTACATAAGGACCTCACACATGCACTAAAAGTTTCAGTCAAATGTACCACTAGGGGGCGCTACAAATGTGGGAAATGGGTGTGGCATTACCATAGCATAACACAAGCCAGACTTTAAATCTAAATCCTTTTTATATACAGTCTATATCTAAATCCCATGATTATAGAACTCACAGTATGTGTTTCATAACATTTGGAAATTGCAATTGCGAAAAAAGGTTTGAACTTTGATACTTTGTTTTTTATTATGCACAAAGTTAGTAAATAGTGAGCTATGGTGGGATGGATGTTTTGCTTTTATGTAAGTCAGCGTTCATGCAGAAAAACTACCCACTGGGCTTAAATACACGCAAATACCAGATCACTTCCTTGTCCCAGAAATGTGTAATAGAATATGTGCTTACAGGTGTGTCATTTTCACAATCCAAATACCATGAAGGAACTCAGTGGATGTAGGTCTCCTGGAAATGCCTGGTCTCTGAAATCGAAGAGAATAGTCTAACTTCAGAGAGAAGTAGAGAAGTTGTATTTAGGTCAAGGGGCATGTCTGTTACACTTTACTTTCTGTGGAAAAACTTTTTAAGAGAAGTGTTTGTATTAAATGAGTTTATTAACCCATGTTAATATACAAAAACAAATCATGTGTACAATAGCCTACCCTTTGTTTGTTTGTGTGTGAGTGTGTAATGGTCACTGCTTGTGGATGTTATTGTCGTCCTTCTTGTTCCTTTTAACCATTTGTCAGTGTAAAAAGCCAAAGCTGAAACAGATTATTTTCCTCAAAAATTTAAGAGCAGCTACATCATTTAAGACACAATGAAACACTTAAAATATTCATATTCATGGGTGCCTCCATCTTAAACACTAGTCTACAAATCCCATTTTCTCTACAGGACCCAGAAGGTTAGCCACGTCTTAATTTTGGGATAAGAGGGAACATATTACATGGGGAAAAGTCACAAGTCATTTACTTAATTAGGCTAATCAAACGTTATAGAGGCAGGGGCAGACTGAGAAGACCAAACGTTCATGTTTTGTGCAGCACCTCAACATGTGTAGTTAGCGGGCTCTAAATCTTTGCTATGCTATCAATTGATGTGTCATATTGTAGCTTTGGATTCTTACAGTTTTATAATACAATACATGGGCTATTACTGATAAAATAAATGCCAAAATGGTCAAAGAAGAAATCACGAAGCCGACTGAGGAGGGCGACAATAAGCCTTTGTTGAGTCTAATGTGCCAAAAACCATAGAAGAAGAGCGATTGTTTTGTTTTTAGAGGAACGCGAGTCCCTGCGGTGGTCCTTCAAAGTCCCTGCTGGGCTACACGGTGACATATGGGGAAGTCGCGAGATTTAAGTGAGTTTGAGCGGGGCATGATAGTAGGAGCCCGGAGCGCTGGCTGCAGCATCTCGGAAACCGTGAACCGCTTGGGATTCTCAAAGACGGCGGTGTCTCGGGTTTACAGGGAATGGCGTGAGAAGCAGAAAACCTCCAGTCACCGGGGGTCCTGTGGGAGAAAACGCCTCGTCGATGACAGCGGAGAGAAGAAGATGGAGAGAGTTGTGGAAGCTAACAACCACGCCACGAGCGTGCAGATCCAGGCTCTGTACAACAGCAGCGGGCAGGAGAAGCCCATCTCACTCACAACCACCCGGCGGACTTTGAAGCGGCTGGGGTACAGCCGCAGGGCTCAGCGGCGGGACACACTCGTCCTGGCCGGGCTCGACGCTCTAGCTGAGTACACTTCCTGCCCAGAACAGCGTGAGACCTCTGAGGAGTTAGTGTGCAGCAATAACAATGACCCGGACCCAACAAATCAATCCTGCAAGGACAATGACCCGGACCCAAGAACTCAGTCCTCCACAGACTTAATGTGCAGCAACAACAGTGACCCGGATCCATAGTAACCAACTGTCTGTTTCGTGATGGTGTCCTATATTAATTCCACAGAAACTGCCAGCTGGACGCATTTCTTTTTTAACGGAACAGTATGCATGTCTATATGTACAAACAGAATAGGCTATAACTCAAATAATTAGAGAGTATTGAAAAAATCAAGACTAAACAAATGACATTCTAAAAAATCTGTGTCAACAAAATATAGGTTTTCACCTCCTTTTTCACATGCCCTAGATGGGAATGTGGGCTATTTGTTTGTTTTGGGGTCAGTTTATTTCCTTCTTTCATAAAGAAAATCTCAAAATGCTTTTCCTATATCAACATCTATTACAAAGAATTTCCCTCGTGAAACACCATGATTTTTCAGCATCATTAGTTACCTCTTTCAAAGATGGGCCAACAAATAATAAATGGGGTTTGTGTCAGCAGGGCTGAGGACCCTGAGGCCATATCCTCTTTATTCTGGGATTGTAGGTGTTTTCAGTAGCAACCTGCAGGGGATTTGCCTTCTACAATAAAACAATTTTACATTGTGGCTGTTTCAGAGGCTGATTTCAGTACGTCTAGAACTGTTGTTTTATTGTGACTACCATACCTTTTAGGCCAAAAATAAATAAAGGTATTATTTGTACACCGGAAATAAATTTGTGAGTATTAACAGAATCCAGCTCTTACATAAAGTTCACAACAAATAAGGTTACCACCTTATTTATACAGTCTGTGGTTAACTTAGCCTAACAATAGTACAGTCTAAGGTTAGTTACCATGGACTTAAGAAATATAAATGGTCCGTGCAATGTTGATTTCTTAAATTAAGTTGTCATAGAAAAAACAGACAGGAAAGCTGGAGAGACACCACTGGAGTTAAGAAGAGAGAAACTAGCGCTAGCATATTGGGTAAACCCTGCAAAGGAGATAAAGGATTGTTGGGAGTATTTCAAGTTTTGGGGGCATGGGTTTGGATGGACAGGGGAAAAGAGAGTCAAGAAATACAGAATGCAAGTATTAGATTTCACCACACCCAATCCAGTCAGTAACATTCCACCGTGGCTCTATCCAGACGTAAAAACAGATTTTAGTATACTGGAAAAGAAAAGAGGATGGGGAATAGAGGAAGTGGGAATACAGACAAGCAGCTATCTGAGAAACATTTTCCATAGTTCCAACAGTTTCCATAATTATCTAAAAATCTATACAGATGGATCTAAAAACAAACAGTAATGTGTGGGAATTGGAATACATATACCAGAATTCAAAATAAATATCTCAAAATGATTATCTTATAGGCTATCCGTATATACAGCAGAAATAGTGGCAGTCATTATAGCATTACAGTGGGTTGAAGAGGTCAGACCTGGTGACATTATGCACAGATTCCTTAGCAGTTATTAAAAGCATTCAGTCAATGACATCTTTCAGAGAAGACCTATTGATACTTATTAAGATTACATCGGGTAGGTATAGATGTTCAGTTTTGTTGGGTTTCAGCTCATGAGGGAGTAAATGGAAATGAGATTGCAGACAAACGAGGCATTGTAAAAGGAAATAACAGTTCAAATACCGCTAGGAAAAGGAGAAGGAAAAGCAGTCATTAAGAAGAAAGGTATTAAAATATGGCAGAAATGGTGGGAGGAAGACAGGAAAGGAAGGAGTTACTATAAAATACAAAAGTCTATCAGTAATAAAAATTATAGCGAAAGGACCAGGCAGGAGGAAATTATAATGACAAGACTGAGAGTAGGACACACAGGACTGAATGGCACCTTGTTTTTATTGTGGAAAAGGAATAGTGAAAAGTGTGAAAACTGTGGGGTTAAAGAAAATGCTGAACATGTCATTTTGCACTGCATATTGTTTGAGTTGGAAAGACAGATATTTCAAGATAGGGTTCAGGAGGCAGGGCGGGAATGGAATCTGATGGGGGTATTGGGAACAGAAGGAGAAAAAAAAGGGTATCACCAGGAAGGCATTATTTATATTTCTTAAAGACACTGGGTTGATAAACAGAATATGAGAGCACCTTATTGGGGTTTGTAGTTGAGTTATATGATGTTGCACACTTCAGTACAGTAGGTGGCGGTATGCACTTAAAAGTTGTTTGCAATCCGCTATTAACTAAGAAGAAGAAGAAGAAGAAAACGGACAGGAGATAGTCATGTGACTATTCATGTGATTACAGGTTGTTTTTTTTTTAATACAGTCAATGTTATACAGTCATGTGATTGAAACAATACACCTGAAGTGTCATTACCACAACACAAAGTGGCATCTCCCGTCAAACAGGGCTACCAACAGGGAAACAAGTACACATTACTGCAGGCTTGTTGATTTCCGTCTCTGAAGACATATCGGCGTTAAACTGTTTGACTTTTTCGGTAGCATCAAGACGTGCGCACAGCCAGAGGAGTACACAGGCAACTTAACGTTAGGCTAACTTGTAGTCATGCTAGCCGCATTTCTCCTTGTCGGTGCTGTAGTTTGTCAAACGGCGGCTCAGTACACCGCGAACTGGACGAGTTTAGACGCCAGACCGCTGCCCTCGTGGTACGACGAAGCCAAGGTGGGCATTTTCGTCCACTGGGGCGTGTTTTCTGTCCCCGGGTTTGATAGTGAGTGGTTTTGGTGGCACTGGCAGGGCCAGCAGCCTCCGGACCAGAAGTGTGTGAGCTACATGTCAAAGAACTACCCACCTGGGTTCAGCTACCCGGAGTTTGCTCCGCAGTTTAAAGCTCAGTTCTTCAACCCGGGGGAGTGGGCAGACATATTCAAGGCATCTGGTGCAAAGTGAGTGTATTTCTCTAGCTATAACGTTACGGGACAAATCATCTTCTTACAGACAGCCTCACTTCCGCGTATCGAATCTTGTTGGACCTGCATTTGTAGAGGTTTGTCGAAAACATTGTCATACTGTATGTTACACTTAAACGTTATCTTCACTGCAGATATGTCGTCCTGACTGCCAAACACCACGAAGGATTTACTAACTGGGAGTCTCCAAACTCCTGGAACTGGAATTCAGTTGATACTGGTCCTCACAGGGACCTAGTGGGAGACCTGGGAGAGGCAGTGCGCAACAGGTGGGCCACCAGATGTACAGCTAGGAAGATTAGTGTCTGATAACAAAGTGCTGACATGGTTACACCAAGAATGCAATAAATGTGTGAGTGAGTGTTGCACAGTTTGTCCTGCTCATGGGATATTTTAACCACCGCTTTCCTCTCAAGACACTGTTCAGTTAAGATATATGGTCTGTTGTTCAGTAGTGGGATGTATTAAAAATTAAGACTTTTGCTAAAGATGTAGGATTTGGAAAGCTTGCATAACCAGACCGATTCACATTTATTACAGTTTCCTTATCAGTGTCATAATAATCAGCGTTTTCCACTATCAGCTCATACCATCGCTGCAGGCTCAGCTTTTAGTGCCACAACATCCCCGTCCTTGTGTTGTGGACTGGTGGCTTTTGCATGAATTTACTTGGTGTTAGTGCCTGATTTTTGTTTTACTAGTTTTATGTTCTCTGGTTGTCTTTAATGACAGATTTGAAGATTTCTGATTTCCTGTTTTAGGTCATTGCACTATGGACTTTACAACTCATTATATGAGTGGTTCCACCCTCTCTACCTGAATGACAAGAAGAATGGATTCAAAACACAGACGTTTGTGATGCAGAAACTACTACCAGAGCTGTATAACATGGTTGTAAGGTCTGTAGTGCTTACATTGCTCCATCAGCTTGTTGCAGTACAAGCATGCTTTCTTTTGCATCTAATAAAGTCAGCCATATTTTTGTTTACGTGTCTGTAGGTGATGCAAGAACATGTCAGTATAACCAGACGGCTATTGTTTTGCAGGTACAGACCTGAAGTAATCTGGTCTGATGGGGACTGGGAAGCGCCTGACACCTACTGGAACTCCACCCAATTCCTGGCCTGGCTCTACAATGACAGCCCTGTCAAAGTAAGTATTTTTACAACAAGTAGGGCTGAACAGATAATCAAAAATTTCAAATAGAAGGAGGCGCAATATTTGTTAAAGGTACCATTTTAAATTAAATATTGTGGTGCTGCAGAATGTCCTGCCTACACAACATATTCCAGAGAATTAAGAAAACATCTATGTTTGGTACAGATCCCTGCAAAAATCACACCATTAATCATTAAATTCAATGAAAATGAGAATAATGATGTGAACATCACAAGTCATGTTGCAATTGCAATATCAGTCAAAATAATCACAATTAGATGTTTTTCTAAATCATTCAGCCCTAACAACAAAGAAGCATCACATAACTGTGTTAACTATGCAAGAATGTATCGATAATATGTTTAATAACAGCCAAAAAAACAAACAATGTTTCTGCATGGTTGCGTGTACTTAGTAGATCTTCTTTGGCTTAGGATACCGTTGTGACCAATGACAGATGGGGAGCTGGCTGCGCCTGTAAACATGGTGGCTACTATAACTGTGAAGACAAATACACTCCAGGCCAACTGCCCAAGCACAAGTGGGAGAAGTGCACATCTGTGGACATGTATTCCTGGGGTTACCGTCGCAACATGAAGATGAGTGAACTGATGGACTTACCCACTATCATAGAGGTGAGAATATGTAATAGTGCTATTTGTGGCTGTGTTGATTGCTAACATCTAAATTTGTCATAGAAGCCAACACACTCACAGTAATTAATCTAATCTAATAAATAAGTGTTGCTTTTTTAATCAGTCAAATTGCTGCTCCATAATGTCTTGTGTTACAATCACTTGTGCATTGTTGTCATCATTGTCAAGAAAATTCTGATCAAAAATGAAGCCAAGCACGTGATGTGTTGGTCATCTTATTTTTCACGGCTGAAAAATGTATTCCAGAATAATACTGTGATCAGTGAGGTGTCTCTTTCTGTGACTGACTGTCTTGCTGCTGCTGCTTCTGTTTCAGGATCTGGTTCACACTGTGGCTCTGGGAGGTAACTACCTTCTGAATGTGGGCCCCACACCAGATGGGATGATCCCTGCAGTGTTTGAGGAGAGGCTCAGAGGTGTTGGAGCATGGCTAGAGATTAACGGGGAGGCCATCTACGCTTCTAAACCCTGGAGGGTCCAGACCGAGAACACCACTGTACCAGTTAGGTAAGAACCAGAGGGTGAATCATGAGAGCCAGTCTATGATCTTGTTGTTCCTGTCATTTTATAGCACAATTTCCAGAAATCTATGTAGGAGCAGTAAAGTGTATCTCGATACAAGACGAAGACAGAGGTGGACTGAAAATAGTGTTTACATACTTGGTTTTAAGTTTGAATTTACTCTGCCAAACCTCATTTTGCTCTGCTGTGTAATAATAATAATAATAATAATAATAATAATAATAATAATAATAATAATAATTATTATTATTATTATTATTATTATTATTATTATTATTATTATTATTATCATCAATTCATCTGTCGATTATTTTCTCGATTAATTGATTAGCTGTTAGGTCCAGAAAATTGTGAAATGTCAATCAGTGTTTCCCAAAGCCAAGGTGATGCCCTCAAATTTGTCCACAACACAAATATAGTCAGTTTATTGTCATAGAGGAGCAAAGAAAACAGAAAATATCCACATTTGAGAAGATGAAATCAACGAATTTGGACCTTTTTTATAGAGAAGAAGGGGAAAAAAAAAAAAAAAAGATTAATTAGATACTTAGATACTTAAAATACTTGGTGGTTAATGTAATAGTTAACAACTAGTCGATCAATCAACTAATGGTTGCAGCTTTAGTTAATGCAGAACACCTTTTGCTGTGATAATGTTTAGGTGTTCGATTCAGTGATTGAAAGGCAGATTTAGAGAGAAAAAGATTTTATTGGATTTTGCCTTTATTTGAAAATAGAGATACAGACAGGAAATGCAAATAACACCCAACAAAGGTCCCGGGCTGGAGTCGAACAGGGAGGTTGCAGTTATGTGGTATGCTTCTTAACCACTCAGCTACTGGACGGCTTGAAGTTGAGATCATTGATGCAAGTTATTGTCTCTGTTTTTGTAGGTATACATCTAAAGGAACCACTGTCTATGCCATTGTGACAACCAAACCCCCCAAGCCCACAGTGCAACTACTGGCCCCCAAAACATCAGCAGACACCAAGGTAAAGGCACTGAGACAATGTAGTCTATGTAGTTTTTATAGATTATAAAAACTCAACATTTAAGTCATGACAAAAAGAAAATAGAGAAACATATATAGGTTTGAAAGGTGCGGTACTACTTGCTGTTCAACATTTCACAACCAGCTTGACTTATTTACAGAAGAGATAAAGGTCATAAATGAAATTTAAGAAACCTAATCATTGATTTTTGTCACTTGTCCAGGTGACCTTGTTGGGTAATCCAACACCCTTACCCTGGTCCCCAGTCCAACCCAGTGGTGGCCTTATTGTCCTTCTGCCTGAACTTCCCTATACCCCTGGTCAAGCCTGGACACTCAAACTGGATGGTATCCAGTGAGCCTTAGACCCCCGAAGTGTTTAACCTCTACATGAATTTGTATATCTCAGGGTTTCATTATGTTTATAGGATAAGGGGGAACCTGTGCACTATGGTTGAAGGGACCGCACTTGCCAAAATGAATCACTGGAACACCTTTCTTCAATGATTCCTTTGTAGCTCTGAGGACTAAAGGCCACTGCCTCTCACTTGTGCTCTTATTTTTTTATATGATTGAATTTATTATGATTTAAAAAGTGGAATATATCTCAGCTGCCAAATTGCTGTTTCAGGAATGATTAATTTAAAGTGCGGTTTGTAAAAGTTGTGTTTGAAAATGAACAGTTCCCACACAAAGCACTTTTTTACTGTATGCTTTTAAAGTGGTTGAATAAAAGATGATTTGATTTGTCAGATGAATGGTGGTGTTTATTCAGTATATGAGATCTTAAAGGTTTTGTTTTTTGTTTTTTTCCGAAGAAGCCCTGGGAAGAGTGATGAAGTTCAGAACATTGGGTAAACTTTAAAATATATTCATGGTCCAATTTCTTACATTTTTTTTGGCCTGTAGGGTTTTTGAAACATTGGAATCGCTTACAGGGACAAGAAACAAAGGTGTCTTTCTATTTGTCAAATGGCCTTTAAAGCACACTCCAGGTCCAATCACTTTAGAAACCTCTGGTTGCTTGTTGCCGTGTTGTGCTCGGACACAATCTTCTCTTAAAAACTCAAAGCTGTGTACAAACCTTTTTACACTCCAGTATAAGGGAATAGCTTCTTTTTTCTCGGTACATATGCAGTACGGTCAGCAAGATGACAAGGGTACGTCTGGATATTTTGATGTTTGGTGCCGCACACGTTTTATTTATATTTGTATTTCCAGCTACTACCTTAACTGCCTTAGGATGGCATTACTCATTCATCTCCTACACTTTAATTATTATTACATTTTACTAACTCCTGACCTTTGGTTGTTACCTACTTCTTTTACCCCGAGGCTACTGGACACTTTATATTCAGTAGCAGCAGGCTATATTTGTCAGTGCAGTTCTACTACAGCTACTGTGTGAATGGATTAAAATATCTGCTCAATGTGTCGGTCTGACCTTAGCCTGGGAAGAGGATGCCCATGGGGACTGTGCATTTGACCCCAAATGCCAGTGCTAAATTGTTCTCTGTCCTGTCTTTTAACCTTCCTTAATGGGTCTATGTGGGATGCTTGGTATTTGCATTGTAAATCTCTACAGGCAGAGAGAGAGAGACCAAGAAAGCTTTGCATTTTTGGTGTCTGCACTGCAAGAAATGTCTCGATTAATGTGCTGATTTTGTCATGAATAGAATGAGATAATGCCACTTGCTGAGGAAAGACTTGATCACCTTAAAAAGTGTTAAAATAAGCGATTGCAGTAAATGACAGTGACAGAAGCAGGATAGTTTTTTTTGCTTTTGAAATGTGTAGTTTTCTACCAGCACAGTTATTATAAAGACCCTAAATCAGTTGATTACTATTAAAAATGGGGGCCTTACAAAAATACACAACTTTCTGTCCAAGGAAGCTTGACATTTTGGGAATTTCTTTAATTTTGTTTTCTGGTAGAGTTGGATGAGAAGATTGATAATGCTCTCATGTCTGTCATTTAATATCAAGCTACAGCTAGCAGGTGGTTAGCTTAGCTTAGCACAAAGACTGTAAACGAGGAAACAGCTAGTTTGGCTTTGTCCAAAGGTATCACAATCTGCCTACCAGCTCTTTTACAGCCCACATTTGAACACGTGTGTTTGATCCGTACAAAAAAAAAGCATAAAAAATTTTCCATTATCGGGGGATGTTGTGCTGGACCATTTCTCGGCCAGGCACTGTAACTTCCTGGAGCCTCTGCTGGTTGCACTGGCAACAGATCAGAGCCAACAAAGTTTTTTTTTTTCTTCTTTTTTTCTTTTTTCACCCTTTTGGTTTGGTTTTGTACATCAACTTTCTTATCTTTTAACCAGAAAGTAAATCAACATATTTCCCAAGATATCAAACCTTTTTTATTTTTATTTTTTTTAAAGTGCTTTAAAATCCTTTCTCTTCCTAGGGAAAGGTGATGTCAGAGTTTAGCAACATTTGAATCGAAAACTGATGACAATCGTGGGCTTGTTTGCCAGTCCACTGTCAGTCAAATCTGATCAAACCACACCCACTCAGTCCCGAAGTCGTTTTTGACAGTTCAAGTCTTCGTAAATAATAACCTATAACTTTGATCGTTGCTTATTTAGACATGCTTATTTAATATAATAAAGAAAAAAAAGTTTTCCGGGGCTTGAATAAAATTTAAAATTTGATTCAGTTACCTGCCTTAAGGATTCCTTTTCCCCCCAATAGCGTTTAAACATTCAATAGAGTCAGAAAATCAACACAAAAGAAAGACAAAGGAGACACAGCACCCCTCATTTAACTCGCTAAAATAGCTTTATAATAATCATATTAATAGTAATAATATTAGCCATTAGAAAATGTTTTGACAATGTTGACAGTGTTACATTCTGTGTTGGGGTAAACCACGTCACAGTGTGCCATCTCTCTGGGCTTCAGCGCTGTCAGACGTGCTCCTTTGACACATCTAGATCCATAAAACATACAAGATCAATAAATAAATTTGTATGTACAAAATGAAAACCACAACACAACAAACGGAATCATGATTTACACTTCACTGTGCAACGCCCTCCACTGCCCATCCAGCACATATTCAAGCTGCATCTCCCGGTCACTGTGGTGTTCTCATGCATCTTGTGTATCAACCGGTGGCCTTATGAAACGGAGTTCATATCTTATGGCATCGATATTGCTATATGCTCCAGTCAATTCGTTTTATAGGAGAAAAGAAACAAAAGCATTTATGTACAGTATGCTGTCTTGGCACTGAATAACATATAAACATATAAAAAAAGAGAACTCAAGAATAAAGCTGAGCTTGAAGACAGAAAAGCTCGCTGTATCAAACCCGTCTGATTAAAAGTCATGGTGTTAAGTGAGAAATGCCAGAAACAGATGAAATAGGAGGAGAGAGTAGAGAACGAGGGGCTATTTAGTTTTTGCTACATTATAGAGTAGAATACAGAGAGAGTAGAATCTCTTTCAGTTTGATGTACATGTCATTTTCCTCCTCTGGCAGAACTAGGAGTTCAGAGTGGAATAAATGCACAGGAAGAAAGAAGGATCTTATGTTTGGATCTTCCATTCAGTCGCTTACTTTCCTCCTTTGGTGATCTCTCGCTCCTCGTTGGAGTGTCCATCATGGATCCCAGAGAAAAATGTCTTCCCAGAGTTATTGTCAGTTTGTTTTTCTTCTACTCCTCCTTAGTAGCAGCGATTTAAGACTTGTCTTCATAGATTAAACTACTTTATTTGTTATTGTACACAACACCTGCCCTTGAATACAGAACAATGTTTACCCATAGCTATAGCTGACAACACCATTTATAATAATGACAGTGATGGCAATAAGTAATCCTTTTAATGACAATAATCATACTAATAATAATCATATTGTAATAACAATATATGTAATATTGAGAAGCGCAATGTCCATTGGCAATAGGTATTTACATTTCTGTAAACATGAGGGTGGCAGGGTGTTATTTTTTTGTAATTACACAGTAATTGCTCAGTTGTCTCTGACCCACATGGTTAAATGTGTGTGTACTGTAAAGCAACACACACATTTACAAACACAATTACGCCTCAGTGCTAAAGGCACATTGGAATTTCAGTTAAACATCTTCTAGGGATTGAGCTGCTCTGGAGACAGAGGGAAGGAAAGGAGAACAGAAAAATAAGTTTTAAGGAGGTTTGGTCAAAGTATAAATAAGATTTTTTGACACTGTTTATGATTGGAATTTTTTATAGCACTAACCATTTCATTTATTGACATTCTGTAGCTCCTTTTCTATATAGTAGTTTTCAATGTTAGTGGGGGAGTCTGCCATTCCCGTGTGGAATGAAATTGCTTAGCTGTGTATAAGAGTATCACAGCAAATGATGCATGTATGTAATCCAGCATTATTCTGTTGTTGCTAGTTCGTTAAAAGCATTCAGCTGCTGAAACATGCCGTGAACATGGTTGTTCATCAAAAAATCAACAAAATAAGACATTTCTGTTCCATTTTTTTGACACAAGATTAGTTTGTGATATTGCAGGGAGTAATGGAACAAGAAGCTGCAGCCATGGCTTTAGTTATTCAACTCCCACTGAGGCTTAACTCAACTAGTGATTTAGCTTTTCCCTCCAGAGCAGCTCTACCTCTCAGAAATGTCTGCATAACTAAAACTCAAATCTGCTACTACAGCATCCCTCCTGCCCCACCTGGTTCACAGTACACAGCACACACACACACACACAAAGTGGCTACAATTGAGCTCTTCCCTTAACGACCACTTCTTTCACTGTTGCTCTCTAGTCTTAGAGAATGGCTACTAGAGATGCTGGGCTCAAAGGATCTCCCCTTTCGTTCAGAGAATATGGACAACATTCCTGCGGGACTGATCTGGTCCTGTATTTTCAGGGTCCGTCGGTTGTGTGGTGTCAGAGAATCCCCTGAGGACAGAGGCCTGGGTCGGGGTTGGAGACACTGCTGCTAGAAACTGAGGTACTCGAAGTTGACTTGTCCGTCTGGCTGTCCACAAGGGGTTTTTGCACTTCTAGAAAGAGGTGAAAGGGTTCGTATAGTAGTCCGTCTGGTGTGTTGGTGAGTGCTCGGATCATGTTTGTACAACTACACACCCACGTGCTATTTTTAGCTGAGGCTCCTCTATTTATACTGTGAAGATATAGGAAAGATGGATGGGTAAAATACAGAACAAAAAGAATGGAAATCATATACCACCAAAAGTGTGTTTGCAAGAGACCTGTTTCAAGGCAAGGTGGCTGGCTAACACCTCAATGTGTGATCAAAAGTATAGAGGAGAAAGTCAACGAGAATTGGAGAAGTAGTAGTTGCTACGGTTGATAAATATCCAACAAAGCCTCTTTGATTCCTGGTGTCCCTCAAGGCCAACCTTGCCATCCCACTGTGTGTAGGTTTGAAGATTGTGAGGGTGGAGCCAAGAGGCCTTCACAGTGGAGTAACAGTATAAGCAGGTCTTTGTGCTTTGTTAGATGAGGCCTGTGTCACACGCCACTGAGATCTTGTCAAGTTTGAGGGTATCAGGAGAAGGATGAGAGGATAAAAAGGCTGCTCTGCAACCCACACCGCTGCAAATGAATTAAACATGATGTCTGATTTTCAGCCCTTTTTATCATCGCCAGGGCAGCTTGTTCAACGTGGAGGTTGTTAAATTGATTCAAATCAAAATGCTGATTGCTGTTTCAAGGTTGCCAGTATCACTGTCCTCCAAGGATATAATATTTGTACAAAGAAGCGACTCATTGAAATAACGGCACTGTAAAATCTTGTCAATGTCTTTTCAATCACAAAAACAAAAACGGTTTATAAGCTACAAAATTTGCTTTCCTATTGTCAAGAAAAAATGAGATTCTGGTAAATTGTTTAAAGGAGGCTGACATAAAACATGCAGTATTAACATCAACAAAATCTGCCAGTCTTATGTGTGTATTGCAAGTGAGTGAGGGAGACAAAGGGTGGCATGTCAGTACAATAAAAACATTTTCTTTCACAATATTCACTGCAGATTGTATACTTCTATATTTACATATCTTTATATATATATAAATACATATATATTCATTTATATATGTATATATAAATATACTGTAAACTGTGTTCAAAGGAAACCTCCACATATAGCTGGTTAGGCACATGTAGTTGGTTCTAAAGAGGATATACAGGGAGGGGATACAGCAGTATATGTTTGAACCACAGACAGATATACAGTAGGCCTAAGGAGGATCATACTTGGCAATTAAGACTCTTGCCAGTCATACCCTGTGAACCTGACCCAGCACTCACAAACTTAAGATAATAATCATTTGAAATTCTTTTTCACATGTGCTGAGTCAGGATATGCCACACAGCTGTAGTATCACACAATGCTATAATCTATCATAGTAATACTGTAGTATTTCACATTTGATATATGCTGTTTTTGTACACAATACTGTACTCAATAGTCTCTACTAATCTAGAAATGTAGATTATACTATAAAATATACATCTCCCATTAAAATATCCCATTTTGCCAACACATTCCATCCAAATGTTAGAAAAAAAACAAAAGAAAAACAGGTCATGCTAAAAGATTCTTATAGTTTTTTGTCTTTAAAACATCTGATTTGGATTTGTAGTATTCATTGGGCTTCATCGCACGTCCCTAATGACAAACAGCCCTTCATACACACACACACACACACACACACACACAAACCAATATGCACCATCCATTCAAAATACTTCATTTAGAAATATCTATTCTGACATAAATGCGTATATGAGAACCCCTCTGAATTTTTAAAATCATGCTACACTTCTGTTTAGTGGAAACACCAGATAGTATGATTTCAAGAATTAAATAAAGAGGAAGGGAAAAGAACACATAGCAGAGTGTAATGTCAACAGGTGATACTTAATCTCACATGATTACCAAACACTATCAAGTTGCCTCTTTTCTATCACTTCACAACTGATGGGTTTCCTCTGATGACTCTTTGGAAGGGGTGTGGAGGGAGCTACATTGAATAATATGACTTCTTTCATTTTCTTTCGATCAGAGAAAACATTCCTTCTTTTATCAGTGGTGTGTGAAATTGAGAGGATTGAGTTCGGCAAGTGGATTCTGCTGAAGAGCTCCCCCCCGCCCCCTTTTACTTTGTGATCCACTATTTTATCTTCTCAATTATGCAAACATATCATGGGAAAGTCCACTCTGAAAAAAACGTAATAAAGAAACTGATCTTCTTTCATGGCTGTTTCATCAGGACATCTGTTTATTCCTGACTGAGGTGAAAAGAGCGCTCTTGTCGACAGTCGTTGGTTTGGGTCCTCATTTGACCACTTGGTGGTGCTATAGTCTCACAGTGAAATGGGGGCCTTCTCAGTAAAGTTCTGACAAGCCATCAAAATATATTTCCTTAAAATTCCCAGCAACCCCACCCCTGACCACTTCAGAGAGACTACATAAAAAGCAAACAGCTCTGTGTTTTTGTCGGTGATGCTCTCGGGCAGTCAAGTCAGCGATGCTACACCGCAAAAGCTCCTTTTGGCAAATATGAGTGTGCACACTATGTACAAATAGCACTTGCACATTCAAACAGCCCCACTGCTGAGGGTTCTCGATGGAAATGCGGGACGTGAGGAATGAAGGAAAGAGACAGAAAATTGTTTCATATTCTTTTACTGGGTGCCATGGTGGACAGATGGCACCTGGGTGAAAGGAGCCAGCTGTAGTTAACTTAGTATGCTTGGAGAATGTTCTTTGGGGATTGCCAACCATCTGACTTTAAGGGCATTTAAACTGATGGTGAGAAATGAATCCATGTTTATTCATCCATACTAGTAGCATCAGTGAAGAGTGTGGTTAAAACTTAGTTATTTCTGTTGCAAATGGCATTCTGGAGATGGTAACAGGGGGTCCATAGGAAGATGTGTCATCCCCCATCTCCACAGAGGTTTTGTGCCTGTTAAGCCCTTTATTTTCAATGATGGAGAAGCACTAGATGAACACGCACAGGCATGCTACTACTGCGTGAACCTCTGACTACTACTGTTATAAAAGTGTGACTTTTTCTTGTTTGTTGTCAGCCAAAAAAGAAATTCAGAGAATTATTTAAAAAAGTCTACAACTCATATCTGCTAGCTACCATTTCAGGCCTCTGTATCAGTAAAATTTCAAGACACTAAAATGACTGTCATTGCTTGTATAATGCAAAGACAAGTGATTTTGAAGTCGTGGAAAGTGAAGTGATGGAAATGCTGGAAGGGAGGGTAGCGGATAAACAGCAGTGACCCGCAGAAGATCCCAAACTGGGCTCAGAGAAAGACTGAGATTGGTACGCACGTCAGCTTTGCTGGGGTGAGGGTAAGTGAGGAGGGTGAGTGGGAAACAGCTCAGGCTTGTGCTCAGAGTCGAGTCTGGGCTTCGGGGATGTAGATCTCGATGCTGTCTGCGCTCTCTGTGGCCGAGTTCTGCCTGAAGGAGGCAGTGCGCTTGGTCTGCAACAGCCTCCTCCTCGCTTCTGTCCTCTGACGGTCCCCGAGGTCCAGGGACTTCTCCCTGATGGGTAAGGTATGTCCCCCAATGCGAGGCACCACCAGGCCCCCCGACCCACCTCCAGCGCCCCCATCCCCGACACTATCGGCCCGGAGGCTGCCACTCACCCCACCTGCTGGCTTCTTTGGTAAGGGAGGAGGGAGCTTCTTATCCTCCTAGCCCGGCGATGGTGACGTAGATGTAAGATGAAACGGACAGTGGATTCATCATGTCGGATGGTGAAAAAAATATGGTTTCATGTGGTTGTACGAAAGGGATCCCATGCAAAAAAAAGTGGAGATATTGGGAGAAACAAAGAGAATGACAAACCAAAGAGTAAACCACCAACAGAAAGGGTAAAATTCAAGTGAGAAGAAGAATCACGGGCAGAGACATGACAGACAAATAACCAAAATTGATTTTAAAAAAAGTCAGCGAAAAAGTATCTCAGCATGCATCGGGCATCAGGTGACGTAAAAGGAAATGAAATGGGAGAAGAAAAGGTAAACAAAGATAATGTAAAAAGAAAAAGAAGAAAAGAGAAAGAATTGTTAGTTTGTTATCAAGAATAATGTAGTCGCTCAGTGAGTAGCCTAACGTTTATAGACAATACTATAACAGACAAGTACTTTCTTCTGTCTGACCAGCTGCAATAAATGCACAAATGCTGATATGCATTTAGATTTCTAGCAGTTTAAGACTCCACCGTCTCGTGGGCAGCTCAGCTCAGTTCCTCTTGCTGTTCACAGCTTGCAAAGGCTTGGAGGGCACGACTCTTCTGCACACTGCCATCTTAGCTCTGGGGGAGTGATGTAGGGAAACCAGGGCTGTTTGGACCCCTAGGCCTCTCACCTTCTTTTCAGGTGGGAGCCTCCAATTAGAATCCTTGAGCCTCTGGAGGTCCTGAAACCTGACCCTGACGTCCTCTATGTTGAGTTGGAGCAGGTCCCAAAAGCCTGCCAGGTCCTGAGAGGTGGGCTGGGGGTATGCTGATGGGTCCTGGGTGGGCAGGGAGAAGGGACATGACATGGGATAGGAGACAAAGTAATATACTGTATCAGGATCTGCGAAAAAGAGAAAGACAACTAAAATAAATAGGATCAATTTCTGCAGGTGTTTTTGCAGCCAAGCTAATTTTGCCTTTAGCATGTGAATCTTGGCAAAACCATGCACCATATGTAATGTGTGTTGTCATGATTTTGCACTCAATCATACACACTCACCACACTTTGCTGGCAGAGGCGGAAGAACTGCTGGACTTTCTGAGACATGAGCATCTGGGCACTGCCAACTGCATTTCGAATCAGCTCAAGAACTAGGGAGGAAACAGCACATCAGTCATTTTTAGAAATCCAAGAATTATTCATTGTTTATCTTTGTCTCCTTTCAGTCCTCCTCCCAAACTCACTCTCCTCTGGCAGTTCGTTCTCCTCTGCCTCTGTTTCCATGTTCTGGCACCAGCCCTCCATCCTCTCCACCTCCGTTTGCAGGAGACGTAAGAAGAACTCTCCATCTCTCATGCAGGGTGAGGCTCGGCCCGAGTCGGGCAGGCTCCGGGGGCCCTCCAGGGACGGTGTCCCTGCCCAGGCTCTCTCAGAGGTGATGGGCAGAGGTGAGTGGGAACGTGGAGGCAAGTGTGGGTGCTGGTGTGGCCGTGGGTCTGCTGGGCAGGCCTCAGTGGTATAGCCACTCTGGATCATGTCCTGTGTTAACATAAAAAACCCACATGGTATTGGGAGCATAAGTAACTGGTACACATTATCTTAAATCCCCATGTCTTAGTCTAATAGCAATTAATTTGTTCATAAGGAATGGCTGAACTTCTTCCTTCTAATACCTACATCCAGCCAGTGTGATGACATTTTGGACCTAATATCTCAACATATTATATTTTTACATTAAAAATATTAAATGCTTGATATATCTAAAAATGTTTTATCTTTTTAAAAGATGTTTTTCTTCTCTTCAATAGTTCTATGTAACTTCCCACTTAAGCTAGACTAGTTTGAGCATTACTTTGTGTATTGGCCAAGTATAAAGGAATAGAAAAATGCGTATTTTCTTTCTTGCTAAGAATAAGAGGTTAATACTAATCTCGTCTGGAAACAGCTAGTCTGGCTCTGTCCAAAGGTAGCAAATCAGCCTACCAGCATCTGTAAAGCCTAATTAACACGCTATATCCCGTTTGTTTGATTCCTTCAAAAACAGTAAATGACAATTTGTGTCCAGGCTAGCCCCCTGTTTCCAGTCTTTGTGTAACAGAGTCAAATACTGTTTGTAATATTATAATTACTCAGTATTCTATGTAAATAGTCATCACCTAACATGTTAGACCTCAGTTTGTGATTTATATTCTGTACCCCAACGTTCACTTTCAGGTGATGGCTCCATATAAATGGGGTCTCCCACTTTTACCTCTTCCCTTTTGTTCTACTTCATGGAAAAGGTAAGCTGTATCGTGGCCACAGAATTGTGCGAATTGTGTTTTAGCCCGCTAGCTTAAACTTGTGTGGTATACTAATAATTTCCTGTGTCATTTAACTTGTGTAGGGGCAGAAGTTGTAAAGTGACAATTGACTGAAGGATTTTGTATTTATATCTGTTGTCAGAGAGAGAGAATTATGGAAGCCTAAGCAGCCATCCATTAAAATTAATTTTTTACTCCGTTTTCCCAGGATAACAGGATCATTGTCTCGTGATCTCTAGATACTAAAGCAGTAGTTTAACACAGGGGTTGGCAGGAACGTTATTTCAGTGAGATTTTCAATGTCACTCTAGCTCAGTTGGTAGAGTGCAGGACTCATAGGACTGACTTTTTAAAATCTTTTTCATAATCCTCTTCAACAAAGATCTTATGAAGAGACTGTTGCTGGACTGTGTGCATCCCAGCGATTGATCCACATCCATCAACCTATGGACTTTTCATTTCCCCATCATTCACAGGCAGAGGATATTCCTCCGCTTCTCATTCAGGAGAATCCATTACATTATACATTTCCTGACGGCTATTTCCGAACCTTTGAAATAGCCATCGGGAAATGTGTGATTGGATTCCCCTGAATCTCTTCATAACAACTTTGTTGAAGAGGATATTAAAAAACAAAAGAAGAAAAAAAAAGTTGTTAGAAGCAGGAGTCAAACACACAATCCTTAGATTACAAGCCCTGTGCTCTACCAACTGAGTGAACTAGTGACACTGATAAGCTATCTGAAATTACCGTAAAGAAACGCACCAGCCAATTCAGCTATGGTTTGTTATCTCAAGATCACGAAAAAAATATCCCGTTATCACAGGAAAATGGAGGAAAAAAATCTTTGAATGGATGGCCGCTTAGGGCTTCCATAGAGAATAAATGGAGACCATCTCTAACGATATCCTGGTCTGAGTCCCTACTTCAAAACACGCAAGAAACCACTGGTTACATTTGTGCTAAGCTATGCCACGTGTCTCCTTGCTGTGGATTAAATTTTTACAAGACACATAAGAGAGTTGTGTTGATGTTCTTATCTCTCAGCAAGATGTCAGCAAAATAAAAACTATTCTTTTAAAAGGTACCGGTAGAATATGTTATTGTCTTTGGAAATGTTTTATGGGGAACAAAATGCATTCAACACCTATGACAGGTTTCAAGCATACACATGCTGTGTTTTGGCGGGAACACTGAATGTAGTTTACAAGAACCTTTAATCAAGGAGGACTCAGGACAAACATTTTGCGCATCACTTCAGGCCTACCTCTCTGTAGGCCCATTGTCCCTGTGTGTGGACGGTGCGGTGGCACTCTGTAAACTGGCTGGCTGACTCTGGCTCTGACGAGTGCCTTTGGAAGGAACATCCAAACTGGAGACTCTTGTCCTGTGTTGGCACGGCGATGCTGAGCCCCTGGAAGCCCTCAGGGTCCAGGTCTGCCTGCACGCTCGCTGTCACGCTGTTGGAGCGCTTGAAACGAGCCCGCCTGCAAAACAGGGAGTCACAGCAGGCCCAGAGCCTTCCAGTCATACAGAGTATCACATGCAAAAGCCTTTCTGAAATGATGCTATGCCTCATTCCTATTGGAGCAGTGATAGTCATGCTATCACTACAGTCACTACTACTCACTCGATTGTGATAAGCCCTGCTAAATCCTCTGGCATATGACGCACCAGTGTGTGCAAATGTCATATCGATGGACTCAGTGATGAGTGTTTACTCTATTACAAGTTTATACCCCACCTCCCTTCATCCTCCTTTGCTGTCTGATAAGGTGTGAGGTGTGACTCAGATTTCCATCCTCACACTTCTTCTGTCTTTGTCCCCCGACGTCACACTGTCACCCTTGATGATTGCAGGAGGCGGGGGACATTGTTAACAAGTGCATAATCACGCACTGCTCTGGGTTTGGGAGTATGTGATGTTGTGAATGCTTGCATGCATGCGTGTGAATCTGACCCGTAAGCGATGCTGGATATAATTAGGAGAAGGGCTGTATCACGTGTGAAAGTCATGGCGAGGGTATGATTTGCAGTAGTCATAGTTACAGTCGAAAAACAAGACATTCTTGGAACAAAGTGTTACTGAGTTCAAGCTGTGATGTCTGATGAAATGTTAAATGAAATAATAGGATCTAGCCTAGAAATCAACCAAAGATGGTTGCACTGTCGGGGGCCCAGGAGATAAAGACCTTTCAAATTATGTATTAAAATTATTCACATAAATTGCTGTGCAAAGACCAAAAGCTCCTGATGAAGCCACATATTTTGGGGCAAAGATAAATGAGTAAATAAACAAATGCACATCTTAGTTTGCAAACTTGTGTTCATAATTAAGGCAAGTTAAATATCAGGCAAAATAAACACACTTCAAGGTGAGATGAGATTTCAAAGATAAATACTTTCCCCCTGCTTTGACTTTTAGTTGTTTAGCTGTTTAGTTACCTTTTGTCATCTTCCACTTGGACGCCTATAGAGTGGACCTCTGTAAGTCCTTTGCCCTCTGCGTCTGAATCTGACAGAGTCTCTGAGCTGTCCACCTGGAACAGAAGAAGCCACAAAGCACCACAGTCAGAACGCTGAGGTATTTACTGAAACACACACCCTAATGACGTCATACGCAAGTGGAATAAAAGGAATAGTTAGACAGTTTGGTAAATATGCTCATTAATTTCACTCCACATTTCTCTACAAAATAAAACTATGAAAGTAGCTTTTCTTACAAATGAATAATTCTTATAATTTCTCAACATGTCCAACTGTTTATGAACCTTGTGTGATTGGGAATGTATTTTGATTAGTGCTGATAGGTCATTGCTGATTAGTAAATTGATGTTTTAGTTAATCAACAGGAAAATTTGCAATAGCAATTTTCAGAATCGTTTCAAGTAAAAATGCTAAATCCTTTTCTGGTTTGAGTTTCTCAAATGTGATGATTTGCTGCTTGTGTCTTGTTTTATAGCTCTGGATCTCAAAAAGACAAACAAAAAAAAATAAGAATAAAAAAATAGCCCCAGATTTATTTATCTTCATTCCGATCATGAATTAAAGCACTTGAAAATAATATGATATCGTTGGGTTCTCTGTACGAGCCACACATCACTTTTTACTTAACGCTAATGTCACTCAGCTTGCCGGCATTTTGAGTGAGCATGAGAGAAGACACTACTCCAGGATGCTTCCCTATGAAGCGGCTGTGAAATGCACTTGCTGAGGTGCTGAAGTTAACATTTGTGTGGATTTGTGGTGAGATTTCTGCCTGATCAGAAGTGTTTTCAGTTAGTTTTCCTCCTCCTTGTCTTATCCAGTAGGCTACAGTACTGTGTCTGTCAGACGGTCTTAAGGGGATATCAGCAGAGCAATAACTTAGGCTAGATTTTTATAAAACATTATGACTGTTTTCTCATTAGATTGCGACTTTATTCTCATAATATTACAACTCTGACTCGACATGTCAGAGAAGGCAGATGTGGGAGAGATTCTGATTGTACAGAAAGTTTCGAACATGAGCAGAAAAATTGCTGAAACTCAGAAGCTATTAAAGTCCAAGGGTTTCTAAATGTATCAAAATTAATTAATTTATTATTGAAGTGAAGAGGCGCCACATGCACATTTAACGACGTTACTCTAATCAGTCATGTCTACATGTGTGTTGACTCAGCAGGGATGATATTAAGAAAAGTTGATCTACAGAAGAATACATATTGGAAAGACTTACTGCATTATTTTCCATTATATTTTTATATTTTGAATATTTTGAATAGAGTGAAATGCAAGGTGTAAAAGACCTGGTGATGATTCAGTTAGACACATGGCATGGCAGCAAATGAGACAGCTGATAGAGTTGCTGTGAGTTTTGTTGTGGATAGATAAAAATAGAGGTTGTTTACTGTTGCTTTGAAGACTTTGGTTTGGTTAGGCAGGGCTTTCTTCGGCTGTGCTGCTGTGTGTGGGGATGGTAGGTGGGGTGCCATTAGCAGGTGAAAATGTGAGGATTTTTGGGCTGGGCTAAGCCCGCAAGAACCTAAAAATGCTCTTGTTTTGCACTATGCACTGTTGGTCACACCAACCGAGCAATTCAAAGACTTGTGATGAACATTTTTCACAATTTTCTGACATTTTTTAGACTAAAAGATTGAATTATTCATTGAAAAAAATAATCAGACAGGAATATATGTCTGATAGAGTAAAATGTCCTTTCTCACCTGCACAGCTATGGATGGCCTCCACTTTCTTCCACCGCGTCCATCGTCCTGCCCCCCAGCTTTACTCAGCACTATGCTGTTCTGAGGCAGAGAGGCTGACTTCCCCAGGCTGCCCCCAACCCTGCCGTCTCTCTCTCTTGCCGGCCTTGGTGGCCCCTCCAGCAGACTGTCAGCCGAGCTGCTGTGTTTGGCCCTCACCCCGACTCCCGGGCCACCTCCGTAGGGCACCAGCTCCCTTGAACCTCTGACTCCATCTAGGCTCTCTGCCGAGTTACTGTGCTGTCGAGAACGTCCAGGTCCCGTGGCGGTGTAGTAGCCTCCTCTGGAGGAGCGACCAGAGGGGCCATCGGAACTGCCCAGGTCCACAGAGTTGCTGTGCATCTTGGTGCGCCCAGGGCCCGAGCTTGAGGCCAGCTGTCCGCTGCTCTGGAAGTAGGCATCCTGGGTTGACTCTGTGCTGCTCTGGGCTCGCACCGAGAGCGAAGACTTGGACATGCGAGGTGGGAGTGGGGGAGGAGCACCTTTACGATAAGGAAAGACTGAAGTGTGAGAAGAGCGGGAGAAAGGAAGACAGAGGCATAGTGGGTTGTTAAAAGAAACATGGGTACTATATCAACAGGGAAAAGGGGGGGGGGGGATACTTACAAAAGGGACAGACTGGGAGGAGGAGGTGAAAGGAAAGACAAAGAGTGAAAAGGAGGAAATGTGTTGATATAAGAGGGGCCGGACCAATGCAGAGAGAAAGAAAGAAAACAACAAAATCATTAAGAAATAATGCCGATGCAAGATGTGACAGAAAGCTTTATAAATGTAACTCAAAAGTACTATTTCTTCTCACCAAAAATCTGCTTTTGAGGCAGGGAGCGAAGTGGTGGAAAAGACAGACATGACAGAAGTGACAAAAGAAAACCTCTTCTCTTGAGCTAACTTAACTCTGCTTCTTAAGGAGATAAAGCAATTTCCTGAGAGAAATACTAATATGAAAGGCGCAGATTCTGTCTCTTCCTCCTCCCTCAAAGCTTCATTCAAATGAGTATGCACACACACACACACACACACACACACACACACACACACACACACACACACACACACACACACACATATTTTCAGTGAATAAAGAATCAAACTTTAATGCATTTCTTTCCAAAGCATCTTCATCACCAGCCAGCTTGTCACAGTTTACAAAGACCCTAACCATGAAGCTCTAAGCCCTAGTATGGGAGCATGTAGGTGTGTGTTTTTGAGTTTGTGTACTGTGCGTGTGTGTTTGTAGCTGATGTATATGACACTTCACAGAAGCTTGACTAAGTATCGGGGGGGATTTGCTGGTCTGAGCTTAGAAATTTGAGTCCTGTTAGACATCAGAGTGGCTCTGTAGTCCACTGTACAATAACAGACACACAAATCACAAATTACTGCAGATGTTCTGCATATTAGGTTTGAGCAAGTGCATAAAAGATAAATAAAAAAAAAATTCAGAAATAACTCCCCAGATGCACCAAAAATGTTTAAAATAAAGGGAAACACAGAGTAAGAAGGCAAAAAAATCACACCAGAAAGAGACTGTATACTGTATACTGACAGGCAGAGAGGAAGAAAGAAGCAGCTGAGCTATCACCATAATCACGAGCAGCCTTCCTCCACCTATTACTGTGCCTGAGAAACCTGCTATCACACAGGGGAGGGTGATGGGAGAGATGAGATACAGAGACAATACAGAGATGACAGAGAACAAAGAGCATGCACAATAGCATAATGCACATGTGTATGCCTGTAGCGTGCGCACACATCCAATCACACATACACAAACACAAGGAAAGTGCTGCAGAGGAGCAGAAGGCTTGGGTGAAAAAGTGAGATCATACCGACTGAAGGAGAACAATAAAAGGTTAAAAATTAAAAATGAATGCACCCATTGTATGCAGTTGTGAGGGTGTAAGGTTTGTGGATATGTGTGTGTGTGTGTGTGTGTGTGTGTATAAACGTGCTTTTGTTGAGGTAAGCAGACACAAGCTGTCATAAAATTTCCTCTCCCACCGGCTGTCCTACTGTGTCTCCCACCAGGTTGCCGCCACATGAAAGGACAACCACACATCCTTCTAACACTCACACAGACGCCATAGGCATACATTTCTATTGGTATACCACACCACACTCATGCACACACTCACCAGCCCCGCCCTTGATGCTTCCCTGGGGGCCCGACATGGAGAAGACAGAGAGGCAGTCGTCGTCCTGGGAGCAGCCAGCCTGGATGGCGCGGACGTAGCTGTGGCTGCGGGTGCGAAACACACCTGGAAGATCCAGGGCCTCGACAGCTTGAGACTCCACCTCACCGAACATGGTCTCACACACCGCCTCAAACTGACGGTTCAACGAGTCTCCCAGCTGAAGGACGAGAGGGAGGGTGAGAGAGGGGACACATTGCTGTGGTCAAGACAAAATCCAATACAGCATTCACACAACTAAACCACATTATTATTTACCTGTGAGCTGGTCAGAGAGCGGGTGTAACTACGAGTGCGGGCTTGGGGTTTAGGTGTAGTTCGGCTGTTGGGGTAGGAGTCTGTACACTGCTTACATGAGTACCTGAAATAAACAAATAATACACATAATCAGCTTTACTGACGACTGTAACAACTATCGTGTATAACGACACAGCTATTTCTTACTTAGAAATAACTCCTTAGTTATATCCTGGCTGTAAAATCTTCAGCCAGTTGCAGTGCTATTTTTATCAAAGACTCGTGTTTGTAACATTCCACAACACACAGTACACCATCTGGTTAACCACAACTATCAAATAAAATGTCAGTGAGTCATATTCTATGACTATTGCCAGCTGGAGTCATTTTGAGTGTTGTAATGCTGCATTGCCGCTTCAAATGGGAAAAACTGCAATGAATCATGTTATAACTATAACTTGTTAATCTTTTTGATCATTCTGAACATCTGAGTAAATGTATTTTTCATGCTGGTTATGCAGACATACAGTTAAATCTGTCTAACAACAAATCCCAAGTTCCCAAGGAGCTTGCCTATATGAAGGTATCCACTACTGAACATATTATAAGGACATGGATGCTACTTTTCTATTTTTTCTTGTTAATGATTGGACTGTGGTGATGAGATCTAAAGGTTTGATATATTAATGTTTGCTCCATTGCACTGATTCAATATTAGCATTTGTTGTCTCTCCAAAATAATCATCATTGTAGTTCACAGTTGTCATCTCTGAATGAGTGATGACGATTTAAATGTTACCAAAAAATGTCACAGAATATCTTAAGGGGGCACCAACACCAATGTTACACACAATTGTCCTCAGCCTGTGAAAACAGTGACATAATATCCTCTGTGACTCTGGTGTCACCAGGGTTATCCCCGCTTGAAGAGTACACATGTAAAACGCGTGGTTTGCTTTAGAATTCTTTTTTAAAATGAATGCACCCATTGTATGCACTTGTGAGGGTGTAAGGTTTGTGGATATGTGTGTGTGTGTGTGTGTGTATAAACGTGCTTTCGTTGAGGTAAGCAGACACAAGCTGTCATAAAATTGAACTGAAAACTGAATGTGTGAAGTTTGCAAGACACGGGGTCTAATGCGAGATGCGTTTTATATGCATTGTGGGAAATGTAGTCCCTCAACTTTACTCTGTAGTTTGTTGTATGTCTTAGTCTGTTATCATGTTTCTTGTTGTCTATGTTTAATTATTCTTTCATTTGGTTTGTTTGTCTTTGTGCCTGGTTTTAGGGTGTTGTTGGGACTATGTTGTTGTCCTGCGTCTTCCGTCTGTTTTAATCACAAGACCCACTCCCTACAGGAGGCCTTTGTCTCCTGCCAGGCCGTTATTGTAAATAAGAAACAGTTCTTCATTAACTTGCCTGGTGAAATAAAGGTATTTTAGACATGCAATATTAAATTGCTAGCATGTCCCCTTTAAGTACTTAAACGTTCTGAATATATTTTTACTGTTTTACTGTCTGCACTGTCTACCCATAGTTTGCACCCAGGACCTTTACACCAACAATGAAAGGATATTAAAGGCATGAATTTCTAGTGCTCAACAATAAATTAGCATCATGCAAAATGCCCTTCCATGCCAAAATGGAGCAAACAGGTTTTCTACAGAACCACTAAATGGGTATAGTTAGTGATCTAACTACAGCTAACTTGTACTGTCCTTGCTAGCACTAGAATAAAAGCCAGCTGATTTTCAAAAAGAGTATTTCAACACACTCCATTTGTGACTTTTGACCTTTGATCCATGCTGATAGATCGTCTAAAGGCATCCCTCTGGGCAATCAGGGTGGACTTAGGCGAGGCTTTTGGGCTGGTGTCTGAGTCAGCACTGTCATCGTCGCCCATGGCCTTGATGTAGCTGCCGCTCCGCATGCGACGGCATGGAATCTCCCCTCCGCTGTCGGCTGCACCGCCACCGCAATATCCACCTCCCCAGTCTTCTGACGGGACCTGAGACACAACAGCATTCAAACTTACATTTGCATAGTCACAGGTAAGTAGAAAAAAGGTGGAGGAGGATTAATCTACAAAACAACGTGAGTATAAGTGTGCAACCATGTGGAGTATACATGGTCAAACTCGGTTTAGTAAGACTTTCTATAAATGGGTTAAACACATTAAAATTAGTTAAAAGTAAGTATGCATTCTTCTTCTACATCAACTGTTAAGGGAAAAGCAGTTGATCACAATGTGAATTAATTAGTGTTGAGATATTGAAGATGTTTCCACTGCACTGTTGGCAGCCTCCTCCCAATATCTGTTATTAAAGTCAAATGACTTCTCAAAAAAGAAATATATTTCATCACTGAAATATATTTTGCACCTCGAACAGAAGGACAGGGATGAATCAGACATACAGTCATGGCACACGTGCACCCAGTGTAAAGCCAACACACTGGATAGCTCAAGCATGCTCATGTACACGATGACAGCACACACCCACAAACACACACACACACAAAACACACACACACATGCAGATAATATATGCATACATGGGAGTTAAAGAAAGAGAGAAAAGGACAAAGGGACTTACAGAAAGAGAGAAACTCTGACAGCTGGAGAAACACTGACACAGAGAAGGAAAAACAACATAAGCTAGAAGCCGACGGACAGAGAGAAAATAAACCAATGCATGAAAAGGCAGGTATACATGCAGGGTGGACAGACACACAGCAAAGGTGGCAGAAAGAGAGACGGGCATATGTACAGGGTGACAAAACAAGAAACAGAGAAGATGAGACATAAGTGTGCAGAAATGAATGAGTGAATGGATGAGAGTCCGATGGGAAAACAAAAGGAAAAACACACACAGGAGCACAGTCGAGACAAGAAACTCAAGAGGAAGACATCACAAAGAGAATAGATAGGTTGCAATGAAATGAAACAAAAACTTTACATTGACAGGATCCCACTGTGGCCATCAAATTGTGTAAAATAAGGATGATAGACTCTTTCAAATGTTACCTCTGGTCTATTCATAGGTGGTGACTTATTTTGTAACGCTTTCAGATTTGCCCTGACTTGCCTGAAATACACCTCTTAAATTCAATGATATTCCAAAAAGTTCCACCGTTTGTGGGGAACCTGACCAATGAAAAACAGATAGCCAGGCTGCTATGAAGAGACACAATGAAACACATCACATTTCCTGTCTTTAAAGCAGCATTAGTCAGCGGGACAACTCAAAAGCCAACATCTAACATTTAATCACCTTAAATCAAATAAGCTGCTGTGGCGTATGTGTTCACGAGCAATGACCTCCGGCAAACAAAGAGCAACATCAGCACCCTTTTGGAGTTGTGTTTCTGGCCAACTGACATGTCACTTCCCTTTTAGCCCTGCTTTCATTTCCACCAGCTCATGAGAATAATTTCTGGCTAGCTGACTTTGTGTGTGTGGTTTTGATGCTTGGCAGGTAGCGTATGGTTGGTTTATTTGTGTGTTTTTTTTGCTGTTGCTGAAAACAGCTGCCTACTGCTGGAAATTGGTTTGATGTGATCAGATTAAATTAAACCCAGGGTTTAATTAGCATCACAGCAGATGAGGACACCTATTAACCTTGTACATAGAATTCTATTGTTATTAGGACCACTCGATGCAATATCTAAATATGCGTGTGTGTGTGTGTCTGTGTGTGTCTGTGTGTGTGTGTGTGTGTGTGTGTACCATTTGATCCCACTTTTTTCCAGTATGATGAAAGCTTGACACCATCTAACAGAAGGCAACAGCAGCTCCTTGTGCTGAAAGACCCCTCGATCTTTCCCTTTTTGCAAATACTGTGAGGTGTGTAGTCTCGCACAAGCATGTGACCAAATGAAAACACCTACACACATTAACACCCACACAAACCCACCCACACACACACACACACACACACACACACACAGTTAAGGCCCCAGGGTTTGGCATCCAGTTGAGTGTGTGTTTTTAAGGTCATCACTTAAAAGATGATTCAGCCTAATCTCCCCATCCCCATGGCCTTCTACTATCTCTCTCATTTCCTCATCCTGCTCTTTCTCTCACGTTGCCCCTCGGCTACCATCACCTCCTTTATCTCTTTTCTATCCCTGAGCGTGCTTTGCTATCTCTGCATCCCTCTACCTTGCTGTTTCCTCCCTCTATCTTTGTCTCTCTCTCTCTCCCTCGCTGTTTCTGTCTTCATTTCACTCTCACTCCATACTCCCGTTTTTATCATTCCTTATCTATCAGACACAGGCTAAGGGGAAAGGAGAGGCTTAGGGAATGGAGAGCGCTGGGTTCTGATGCCATGCATCGTGACTGGCGTTGACACCATGTGACAAAACCTCTCACATGTGCCTTTGCCTCTGACCACAATAATTCAGACTTGTGAAGATTCATAAATTTTTGATCCTTTCATTTTCATTTTCAGCTGCTTCACTTTGCGTTTGTGGGGCGAAATTTGAGCAATGACCAAGTGCAGACTTGTCAGTGTAAGATGTGAACACCGAAGTGACATATTACCATCTTTTGAATGTATATATTTAAATAGGGTGACCTGTTTTTACACAGCAGATACAGAGCAATGCTATCATTCATTTGGAGTCAAACTACACTATGAGAGCGGTGAGAGTTAAATAAATAGTGATGTTGCGGGCCATAAAACCAAAACAACAAGCTAAAAGAAGCTATAAAGCTCTGCAGAGTTGAGAGGAACTGCTGAGTTCGGCGTTAATACTCTGAGTTCATCTCCATAAGAGACCGCTTTCATATACAAGTAGACATGTTATCCATGATGCGTAGAAGAATATCTATAGCTGCTTTTAAGTCAGTTGTTGAATATCTTGTCTTTACACACTCTGTTTGCACATGTCTGGCACACTTCTGCTTCCAGAGAACAAAGATTCAGTTTGGAGCTGTTGCTTCTATATGGCAGACATGTGCTGCTGTCTGTCCCAAGGTGTAGGACTGGTGTTGTAGACCTGATCAGCTCTATATCTGCAGCTCCAGGAAGCTGTCTGCTCTGAAGCCATGGATCAATCTGGCTGACTTCAGCACATCTAAGCGCAGCACAAAATTCCCTCCACATGCTGTATGCCCCCTTCTCACAAAACTGCAAGTGACGCCTGGAGATATGAGAAAAGCTGCAGTGGGGAAGTTCATTTCGTGTCCTAAGGTGTGAATGTGATGGTAGCTTAAGGCACACAGTAAAATTTGTTTTGAATTCGTCCTTTTGGAAACACACGCGCGCGCGCGCACACACACACACACACACACACACACACACACAGCTCTGCTCTCTCTGTCTCTTCTATCAGCAGACCCCAGCTGTGTCTAAAGGATGAGAGTTGGAAAAACACCAGGGACTCCCGTGGCTACCTGCTGTTTCCGTAGAAACACAGCCTGCATGACAGCTCTACCTCAGCACAGCTGTAGGTTTGAGCATGCTCGTCTGTGTGTGTGTGTGTGTGTGCTCTTTTCGCTTACTTTGTAGGTGTAACAGCAATTAGCTTTTCATTTTAGGAAATTCATGTAAATAAAATGATAGAAAGGGCAAAGGGAAAATTGCATTTGTTGGTTTAGGAGACAGACCGCCGTGGCGAATAAAACTGGGAGATGGACTGTAGGGAGACACATTAAATAATGTGTGGGTGACAATCATTGTTTTCTGACTCACAGCAAAATACCAAGACAGTCTACGGGATCGCTCAGGTGGACATTTAACCCTTTAATCTCTGGGCTGTTTTTGCTCAGATGTTTAACATGTATATGAACAGATATAGGAGAGTGCCTGTGTCCCATGCATATATGAATCATGTTAATGGGGCATAGTATGACAAAAGATGTATTGATTGTAAAATTATTTTCATGGATTTCAGTTTGGGATTAAAACATTTTGAGTTTCTGGCACTAGAGTTCCCATCATGCTTTGAGTTATGCAAATAGGAAGTAGCTGTAAGCTACACGAGTCCCATTTTAAGCTCATGTTTCTTTAGATTCAGGCAAATCTGCACCAAGAAGTTGTGCTGCATTTTTCCTGTTAGCATAGTAACCATGATTATTAGGAATGATCTGACGCCATAAGGAGCACTGTTTTAATATGATTTAGAAATGGATTTATTTACTGTACGGTTTGAACCATGTGACATTTTTGGTGCGAAATGTGTAAAGTGCGATTTCCTCATAGGCAATACATTTACATTGTCCTTTTATGTAGGAACCTTGCAGGGAAAATGTAAGGTCTTAACTTACAGAAATATTGCTTTTTTTGCTGCAGGTCAGCACTGATCAGCAAACAAAGTCAACCTCATACTATAGTACACACACAAACACACACATTGGTTGACATGCAAGCATACACACACCTGTAGGTAGTGGAAGGTCCTCTCCTTTAGCTTACTCTCCACAGGCACAAGGGCTTTATCGTAGCCTCCTCCCCTGGTGGAGGGGTACACCTCCCTGGCCTGACTCACTGTCATGGCCGACCACGTGCTCCTTTTCAGAGAGTGGCCGTGGTGCCCATGGTGTCCGCCACCTTCACCCCCGGCCAGGGCCATTGTGGTACAGGCCATGCACTCCGCAGGCCCCGGCCCACCACGCTCCTTGGGCCTCTTCATGGTGAGCTCTTGGATGGCTGCATCCAGGCTCTCGTGTCCACTGGGATACCCCCTTCTGCCCCCGCTGACCAGGAAGCTGCTGTCGCTGTCCAGGTTATCGTCAGAGCTCCACCAGCCTGCTGTCCTGCTGCGGTGGCGTCTGCCCGACTCGTGCCGTGAGTCTCCACTCTTGCTTCGCTCTCGAGACTTGCTCCTCCTGGTAGAGCGAGGCTGGTGGCCTGAGTAGTGGCTGCCGCCGTCCTCCCCTCCACTCCTGTGGCCTCCTCCTCCTCTCTCGCCACGGTAGTCCCCACCTCCCCTTGTGCCGTTGTACTCCCGTTTGGATGGTGCCTCCAGGGAATGGGACTTGGCAAAGAGGCGCTGCACAGAGTTGACCAGGTGGCGGATACGTGAGGGGCTCTCGCTGCGTGGCTCAGCACCCCCACTAGTGGTGCGCTGGTACTGTAGTGTGTGGAAGCCATCAGGATGAAAGGGCACCTGCTTCTCAAACTGGTCAATCAGGTTCGGAGGAATGCGATGCATCTTCCCTCCGTGGCCTGAGGACAGGCACTCCTCGCAAGAGTCAAACGACTGGAGAGGTGGGTGCTGGCTGGGGTGGGAGCGGGGGAAGGTTCCCCCTCCAGAATGGCTATGGGAGTGGGAATGGTGCCTCTCAAGCGCCAGGGCCTCAGCAGGACCTCCTGTAGGGTAATAGTGGCCATCACTGTGACCCTTGTAGTAGTCTCTGCCTGGGCCGTCACAGTCCTCAGGTGTGCAGTGGCAGGGGCCTCCTCCGCCCGAGGAATGCTGGGACATGCTACGGCTGACATGGTACCCTTTCACAGGCGCCGGGGCGTGGTGGGCCGTCCGGGCCGAAAGGGGGCGCTGTGGGCGTGACAGGGCTGCACCGGTCTCACCTGGAGACACAAAAAGGGTAACCATTTAGGTCTTGTATCTTGGGAGACAGATGTGAACACATTGCATTTATAAATAAAAATCTTCTCGTCTATCTGAATCTAGTGATCAGTATCGCAAGCAGTATGAGTTTTCTGTCTCATTACAAAGAATAACTGAATAACCATGAGATGATGAGTAGGTGTTGCTGATCACACCCATCCACGCTTCTGTTACCTCAATAACTGCTGAGATTTCAAGCTTTAAAACAGGAAAACAGTGTACACATGAGAAGGACAGTGATATAATCCTTTCAAAATTATTTAGTGCAGGTATAAATAACGGCTCTGTGTGAGACATATAGGTGTGAGGTGCAGTTGAGTTTTATTCTTGGTATGACTTACAAATTAATCACAACAAAAATAAATAGAATTTGTAGACTGATGTCCCGGTTGTTTACTCTCTCTTATCAAGTAGTCTGCTAAATTGAAAGTGAAAACAATGTTTTTTTTTCTTATTCTGATTAACATTTTTATTGATTTAGCACTTCATTTTTTACCAAACCAAAGACAAACAGGGCAATAGTGAGCATTCATCCCGCGGGCTGCAATAAGTGGCCACAGACAGCTCTCTCCGTCTCATTCATCTCAAAGGCTGCTGGGCTGATAAATCAACAATATTAGCCTTTCTTTCTCTTTCAAGGTGGCTCTTAGTTTCTGCCTCACTCTCCCGCTTAGTACGTCTCGCTCCTCTCTCCCGTTTATCGGTATAGTCATCAGCCCAGCACTCCTTGTTGTCTGTCTCTTTTTCCTCCATTCGTGCCCGCAGGGAGTCCCAGAGCATTCACATGATTTACAGCTGAGAAAAACAATGTGGTTATTGATCACGTGCATCCTAATGCAGTGGGGATAGAGAGCAGCGGCAAGTGTCCAAGCATATTCACCAACGTCTGTACTATTAATTACACAGTGAAGTCACCGTTTGAGTATCGGGGGAACAATAACATGATTCACAACATGCAGGTGACCAGGCAGAAACTAACCCTGCCGCTGACTTGAAAGGATAAAAGTGCAGAAGAGGATGGGATCTTCTCCACAAAGCAAATGCAGGAAATGAAATCAATGCCAAGCTGCAGCGAGAATGTGGAAACCATATCACCCACACACTGTGGTTGCGCTAAGTAAAAGTGAAAAGATATGGGAACAGGATAAAGCCTTTCTTTGTATTGTCTTTCTTGTCAGCACATGGATAACAACCGAGATTACACTCCAAATGTGGTAATCATGTATTTTATTGGACTGGCATTAATTGCTGCTGCTGTAATCACATCCTCTATTTACCACATTTTCCACTAACTATATAATGAATCATTGGCACAGCCTGTTTATAATGCACACAACCATTTCCCATCATTTCTAGATTTGATTAAATTGTAAATGAAATTACAGTTAAAGCCAGAATCGAGCCGCTCGGCTGGATGGGATTCAGTGAGCTCCTGCGAGTTTATTTGCACTGGTGTTTGTCGGCTTTCACACAGAGATGAGAGATAGGGGACAGATGCTGGGATAATCATTAAATAGAGCGTGGCCTGTTTGCCTTGATTGGCTGAATGAGAGCCGCCACCCAGGAAGCTCACCCACATCCAGCCGTGTCATTGGTGTAGCCGTGACGACAGGCCTCTCCAAGTCAACATCCCACCGTGGAAAGATTTCAGACAGCCGTGGCACCTGGGTGAATAGGGCGGCCTCTCATTCGTAGGCTGGCCAGGATGCACTTTAGTCAGAAGCGCAGTGTGTCTCCTAGCAACAAGCTAGGAGACAACCTAGCTCTCAAATGTCAATCAGCCGCTGTCATGGGAAAAGCTCACCCTGAAGGGCTGAGGCCTGAAGTTTCATTTTCCAAAAGTATGTCCGAAAACTATTTTTTTTAAGCCTTTTTTGAAAAATATGCACAATAACAGCAGTATCATCATAGTTTATATTTCCTTCCACAAACAGTGAGTGGAATTCAAATTTTAGTTTGACTAAAATTCAAGAAAAATAAAGTAAAAATGGGGATGGATATTTTTTGCAGTGTGTCGTACTTGCATGTATGTGTGGCCCTGTTTATGAATAGGCAGCAAAGTGAGCAGCGCCACTTTGCCTGGAGGAGTAAATTAAACCATGTTCTGTTTATTATGAAGTCTTTGGCTTTGGAGCAGGCTGCTGGCTAGGAGCTGTCAATCACAGTGACGTGCACACACATGCCTGAATGTATTGTTGTGTGCCTACGTGCAGACAGGCAACTGAGAAAAGATAGAGGTAGAAAAGACGTAGCCAAATTTTGGCTGCGTCTTTTCCTTTATTTGCTTCTCTCTATCCATCTCTCCACATGTCTCCCTCTCCTCTCAGTCTCTCCTGCTGACCTACTTCTATCCATCCTCCAGTCATGTCTCTCCCTCCCTACGCTCTCCTCCTTTCCTTTTCTTTTCTATTTTTTTTAACCTGTCAGTCCGTCTGGCTCTCTGTCTGTCAGCACTTCTCTGTGTTGAGTCAATAACAAAGTTTGTTTCTATTCTTCACCTCTTGACCTGTACTGATCTACAACCCCAATTCCACTGAAGTTGGGACATTGTGTAAAACGTAAATAAAACCAGAATACATTCATCTGCACATCATTTTCAACCTAAGAACAATGTTTCTCAAAGTACAATTGCAAGGAGTTTAGGGATTTCATCTACGGTCCATTATATCATCAAAAGATTCAGAGAATCTGGAGAAATCTCTGCACGTAAATGGCAAGGCCTAAAACAAACATTGAATGCCCATGACCAGGTTTTGGAGCAATTATGCTGCCATCCAAACAATGTCTTTTTCAGGGATGTCCCTGTTTATTTCAGCAAGACAATGCCAAGCCACATTCTGCATGTGTTATAACAGCGTGGCTTCGTAGTAAAAGAGTGCTGGTACTAGACTGGCCTGCCTGCAGTCCAGACCTGTCTCCCATGGAAAATGTGTGGCGCATTATGAAGCGCCAAATTCCACAACAGAGACCCTGGACTGTTGAGCAACTGAAGCTGTACATCAAGCAAGAATGGGAAAGACAACCATTAGTGTCCTCAGTTCCCAAACTCTTATTGAGTGTTGTTAAAAGGAAACGTGATGTAACACAGTGGTAAACATGCCCCTGTCCCAGCTTTTTTGGAACGTGTTGCAGGCATCAAATTCAAAGTGAGTGAGTATTTGCAAAAAACAATAAAGTTTATCAGTTTGAACATTAAATATCTTGTCTTTGTGGTGTATTCAATTGAACATAGGTTGAAAAGGATTTGCAAATCATTGTATTCTGTTTGTATTTACGTTTTACACAACATCCTAACTTCATTGAAATTGGGGTTGTATCTGTCACCCATCAGTTTTCTCGCTTCTTCATTTCTTGTTAGATCATTAAGGTATTGTAGTGTTATGTACACACATTTTTAAACCAAACAATAGGTGCTTCATTTGTTCTCTCTCCTCTTCCACTACTTCCCCTCTATGTTTTTTTTAGGGATCTCTTCAAATTCATATCTGAATGTTTAGCTAGTATTTGAATTGACCCCACCTACTGCCCTCCCTTTTGTACTCCACTCCATCTTTTGGTTTATCTCTATATTTCCATTCCTCTTTGGACAACTTCCCTGCTCCACTCTGTGTAGGCAGAAATGTTCAGTAGCGGCTCAATGGGGAGTTGGAGCTGTACAACATGCTGTCATTGTTTAACACTGCTTGGCATCAACGTGATTGTTGCAGAGGCTTCAGTCTGGAGCTGTTTCATTTTAAATATTCATGTGATCATGCCAGCTGCTCTGACCCACTTTGCTTACAGCTGAGTCTGCCTGCTCGCTGCCATCTCTGTGAGTTTTGGGTCAAAGGGTGTTTCACTGTAAATTCAGCAGCTGAAATACCAGAAATGATACATGTCTTTTGATATATTTCCCCTCACTTAAAGGAAATGTACTTGCCTGTCAGGAGGAAGGATAGCTCACAGATTTGGTGGAGACTGGTGGACAGAAGGACCTCATGCCCACTGGCATTTTATTAGCTTAGTGAAAATCCCATTTTAAGAACATTATTAATTTTTTGCAAAATAAAAACTTCCAGCATCCAAATCCTCCACTGTTTCCAGGCCGAAGCAATCAAATGTAAGTTTCAGTGATAACAATTTTTTAGAGACTCCAACGTCAAAGAAGTGACCATTTCAAGCAGATAGTTATATAGTCAGAGTTAGCAGGAAAGGCACTGCTCTTTGAGGGCAGCTCTCAATGAATCCCTACGGCAACAACAATTTGGCTGGAAATCTAAAAAACAGACAACTGTTAATTCTAATATCACAATACCAAAAATAGAGCACATAAAGAGGAGGCTGGGGATGTGGATGGAGCTGTGGCAGACAGCATTGACATGAGCGTATCAGCAGAGTAACAGTGAGAATTTTCAAATTATAATGGTCACGTTATGTATAGACCTGCGTGTATACGATTGGACATGACTAGTCAGCTGATTGCTGCACAGCTGTTGAGAAACCAGTGCTTGTGAAACAAGAAGGAACCTGCTGATGGTAAAAGATAACCCTAATCCTAACTTTCAGAGAATAAACACTTGATTTAAACATCTCATGAATATGTTAAGTCATAACTATAAGACAATGCTAAATTGGCTTTCAAGGAATAGTTCAACATTTTGGGAACTATGCGTATTTTCTTTCTTGCCGAGAGTTAGATAAGAAGATCGACACCACTCTCATGTCTGTGAGGTAAATATGAAGCTATACAGCCAGCAGCCAGTTAGATTAGCTTAGTATAAAGACTGGAAATAGGGGAAAAGGGTTAACCTGGCTCTGTGGTTTTATGGAGGGTTATGTGTTAACTTACTAGAGTCTGGTCGTCTGCGTAAGATTGACAGGTAGCCAGTGGAGACCCCAGGATACTGTTCCCACCCAGAAATAATCCTGGAATGCATATAACCCCCGTAAACTCTGGCCTTTGTTCTAACTAGCTG